AATGTATCTAAACATAAAAATAATGTTCAGCTCCATTAGACATTATAAAATACTCTTTAAATTTCGTTCATTTTAACAAAAAGTTAAAATTCGGACAGAACTTATGGGATGACCTGATACTTTTGTATACTCCTGTATATTTATGTGGCTCATGTTTGTTCTTTGGGACCCAAGAAGACGACGTTGTCTTGTATTTCATCTGTGGACACGTAAGACGCGGGAGCAGTAGGAGTACTAGAAGTTGGTGGTTGTGATGAATGTCAAAGTTACACAGTAACGCTTTCCCTTTGAGTTTTTTACGCTGGGCTTCTTCGATCTTTAGTAAACACCGATGGACAATGGTCCACTAGCATGTTCAGTCAGCAGGAGATGTCCCAATTTCTGAAAATTAAATAAATTGTCATTCTTTTTGTTATATACCGTACTAAACACTAAAGGGTACGTCCCAATCCTCATAAATACGTTGGACACTGTTGTAAGTGGGAGTAAAAAGGTGTTTAAGTAGTCCATCATTAGCAGTGGTTTACCTATTTCAGGCCGCTGGCGAGTATTGTATTTTGTTGATGTTATTACCATTTCATTTCCATCCACCGTTTTGGTTATTCCTCGTTCAGTAACCCTTTCTAGGTTACAACACTTTTCTGTCTCTTTTCTTTCAATCTTTCTTCACACAAACATATATATATATATATATATATATATATATATATATATATATATATATATATACATACATAGATATATATATATATATATATATATACATACATACATACATACATATATATATATATATATATATATATATATATATATATATATATATTCTATTTACACATTATTTTTATAGGCACAGATATTTAGGAAACTGCTCTGTTTATAATAAACAGTATTAACTGCATGTACCGGCCTGAATATCCAAGAAATTTCATAGAAAATAATTGTCATTCGTCACTGCTCTTAGCAATGACGCTCTACAAAAATGCGATTTATTTTATACTATTTTTTAATACTACTATTATATATTCGTACATTAATTATGTCATATGTGCTTCAAGATAAATATATCCTATGATGAATGATATTTTATTTAATGTGGGATGTTTATGTTGTATAATAATAGATTCTAGAGTTTTGAGTCTTTCCACGCATTGAGTACTGTATAGTATTTTGGTGTCATCTACTACTATGTGTCTTATGTTGGTAGTTACATTGACAGGGACAGAGAGGAGGATCCAAGCGTTTGAGAAAAGTGTAAGAAAACTCACTGTTATCTACTATTGGAAACATAAAATCCTATTATTAAAAGTATTGTCCATGTGTTTATTTCTCACAGAGACATACACACACACACACACACACACACACACACACATATATATATATATATAATTATTTTTTATAAAAAAATTTATAACATAACATACTTATCTTATAAATTTTTTTATAAAAAATAATTATATCTGCTCTACTTTGTATTGAGCACTCTTTTAAGAATAGTAATTGTTGGTTATTGGAATTCATTCCGTATATACCAATTATATACTTTTGATATATATATATATATATATATATATATATATATATATATATATATATATATAGTTAAACCTTGAGAGCCAAACATACCAAGTTTTCATCTAGGTCGGCACTACTTAACGTATTGAGCACTATATTTAGTTATTTTGCTTACTCGTACTTACTTTTTTTCTTTGAACTTTGGACTTGGATACTAGCCAATTATTTTCGGCTAACGTACATGTTTTTTGTACCTTTTTTTCTCCTTTGGTATTGGTTTGATTATTCGCTAATCGAGACAACGAAGGTTTTCCGGACGAGTATAATTTCTTATACTTATAAGATTATTACTACTAATAATATATATATATATATATAATTATTTATTTTAAAAAAATTTATAACAAAAATATGTTATAAATTCACTATAAGAATAGAATAGATAGTGCTCGACAGTAATAGAAGCTAATATCCAAGTATATGATTGGTGTATAGAATAGTAATTGTTGGTCATTGAATTCATTCCATAGACACCAATCATATACTTGGGTATATATATATATATATATATATATATATATATATATATATAGATAGATAGATAGATAGATAGATAGATAGATAGACTTACTATCTATCTATCTATACAAATTCCTTATAATAAGACAGTATGTATGTATGGAGAGGAAATATACATATACATACGCATACTAACAAAAACACACACAATACAAAAAATAGAAAGAGTTCAAATGATAAGAATACATATATCTTTGCTCACCCTTTCTCGGACCAATCTTAATTGTTTTCTTACCCTTCAACCAGACGAACTTTCTAACTACCAGTTCCAGAAAGACATTTTTGTCGCTAACATACAAAAAAGAGAATGTTTAACAACGAGAATGTTGCCTTGTTAATTGTTTTGTAACTTATTGTTCTATGTTTTTTGTATGTATCCGTTAGCACCGGATACTAGTGCTGAATAAATATATTAAGCACTCATTCTTGTCTGCGTATCATTCACATCAACGATACAACGCTAAGTGATGTGCATATAACTCCGTCCATGGTTTTTACTATCATCGCTAACAGAGATCCCCACAAAGTAATGCGGACTTCGCAGCATCCCAGCTATTGTCCTCTGGAAATGTGTTCCTGAACTGGCTCCTGTTCTCTCTAAACTTTACAAATATTTTTCTATTACTTTCTTTCCTTCTTGTTGTTCTTTAGTTCTGTCTTTAAGAATTGTGGTTAACTTTTTGGTACCTTGAATTATGGTCCTATTACTCGTCTTTGGCAAAACGAAGAGGCCCTGATTAACTAAGATTTGCTTACGCATCTCACTTTGCAGGGTTTTACTTCAGACAAAAATTATGGTTTTTCTTTCTCTAGGTCAACCGTGTTAATTGTTATTACTAAATTTTTCTGCCTAGCCTTAGATAAAAACGGCGTGGCTCCGGTTGTGGCTTTGGATATTTCGAAGACCTTTGACATGGTTCGCCACACTGGCCTTCTTCAAAAGCTGAAGGGCTATTGTGATTCTAGCCTAGTGGTTCCCAAACAATACTTCGCGTCTCATACATGCGGTGGAAGAGGATAGCAGGTGAGGCGGAAAGATTGAAAGACAATCAAAGTTTTAAAAAATGCATATGCTAAAAAGTAAATATGATTTCAAAAAATTAAAATATTATTCTGAATTATTTGTAATTCCATGAATGGGACCAAGTATAAATAGTTATAAATAATTATTGACCGATTTTATCATTGTGATATTTTTGCATTATATCAATAGTAAGAAAGGGTACGCAAATTGGAGGAGAGAGTTATCAGGGACTTCGAATCCGCGGTTATCTCCCTTTAATCGCCTCTTTTTTTTTTCTTTTTTTGTTTCTTTATAAAATATGCTTTTTATCATAAAAAAAATTGATGAGACGCGAGGGAATTTTGATTCCGAAAATGCAGCCCAGAGGAAAAAAATTGGGAACCAATTTCTCTAGATCAATATTTGACTTGATCCAGTCTTTTGCAACGAATTCTGTTGTTGAGGATCATTTGGAATGGCCACTCTTCTAGATCCTTTTACACTTAAGTAGAGTTCCCCATAGCTCTATCCTTGGACCTACTTTCATCTTCATCAACGACATTCTCGATATCATCAGTTTCTTTAATATTTATAATGATGACACAACTACCCACTCTTGTTTTAATTGCAAGTCCAATAATGTAAAGCAAACATCTGATCTCGAATATGGCCACCAGTCAGTTGTTAACTGTAGCAAGAAATGGCATGTAGATTTTTAACGCCTCCAAAACGAAATTACTATATTCCAGGCCTCATAGAGATCTCTTTTTGACTTCTATCGGTATGGCTGGTGCTAACCACCAGCAGAGTGACTCATTGAGCCTTCTCCGACTAATGATTTCATAGACATGAAGCAGAACGATTATATTAAACCAACTGCTAGGATTGCTGCCAAGGTTCTCTGTGTCATGCCAGACAATTTTTCTCGACAGAATATTGCTGTCATGTCTGGTCTGATGCTCCTACTATATATCTCGAGATTCTTGACAAAATCCAAAGAAAGGTCTGCAACGTTATTGGCCCTGACCTGGCATCTTGACTTCAGTCACATTCCTACCATCGTGTCGTGGCTTCCCTCTGTCTTTTCTATAAATATTTTCATAGCAATTCTTCTAACTAACTCTCCTCCTTGTTACTTCAACCGCGTGAAATTAAGCTTACTACTAGATAGGCAAGTATGCCTCATATTTTTACTGTTACCATGCCTAGATATAACTGCAAATTCTATTCTAATTGTCTCTTTTCAGTCCTATGAAATTTCTTCCGGTTTCTTGCAACCTATAATTTTCAAAATTTTAAATGCAACTTCAGCCGCCATCTTGTTTATTTTTTCTGAATTCTGTTTTTGTATTGTTCTCATAGCGAACGTTTTCTCTTTGTCTTTTACTCTCAGTAATCCCTTGTGCTTTAGTGGCATTTGTTCGGCGAACTTACACCCTTTCTGTCGATTCATTCTACAGCCTTTTTCAGGTGTATACAGGGTTTTGTTAACTATATTTTTTTCTTTAAATATATTAACTATGTTGTACGTCCTTCATTTTCCTATCTAGATTAAACATCAGATATCGACTTATGCGCCACCACAAAGAATGAACTCGTTAAACTTATAACGAATGATCAGTTTTATAACTACTTACGCATTTACCCTCTGCCGAAAGATCAATCAGCCACTCCTTCAAAACACGCGTTATCTACTTCATCGTGTTAATCAATTCTTTCGTTTAGACGTATATTGTTTTATGGTGATTCTTATGCTCACATAACATTCGCACCATTTACGGCATCTTACACTTAGCGTTTTTCGTCCAAAGATTCAGATCAATATTTTCCCGCAATTTCTGGTCGGCATTGAATAATCATAAGACATTGACAGTCAGTCCGGCAATTTGTTTTATTCTCATTAAATAAGACGATCTGCGTGATCAGTGGACAGTGTCCAGGCGGTGAGAAGTTGAGACACTGAAAGAAAAGCTGATTTGTCACATGCTGAAAAGAAACATATTTTGTGAGAGATGGGGATGGCGCTTCGACTTGCTAAGGAAGTACTTGAATGACCCCCCAGCTCAGTGAAAGGACACGAAGAAGAAAAGGAGGAGGGGGCCACAACAACTAAGAAGAAGAAAAAGAAGACGACGGCGAAGAAGAAGAAGGCGACGGCAACAAAGAAGAAGATGAAGAAGAAGGCGACGGCAACGAAGAAGAAGAAGAAGAAGAAGGCGACGGCAACGAAGAAGAAGAAAAAGAAGAGGCGACGGCAACGAAGAAGAAGAAGAAGAAGGCGACAGCAACGAAGAAGAAGAAGGCGACGGCAACAAAGAAGAAGAAAAAGAAAAAGAAGGCGACGGTAACGAAGAAGAAGAAGAAGAAGAAGAAGAAGAAGAAGAAGAAGAAGAAGAAGAAGAAGGCGACAACTAAGAAGAAGAAAAAGAAAGAGGAGGAGAATCAGAAGAAGACGAAGATGGTGAAAAAAGATGGTGAAGAAAAAGAAAAAGAAAAAATGAAGAGGATGAAGAAGAAGAAGAAAAAAGAGCTATTTACTTTCCGAATCGTTTATGCGGTTTTCGTGGCAAAAGATGTATTTTCTACTTTAGAGCTTCTTTCTTTCTTTCTTTCTGCATGTCTTGTGCTAGTCTATTGTTATTTGGATGGAAAATGTTCAGATGAGCTTCATTCTGTTTTTCTAGCTGCTCAGACCGTTATAACTAGGTCCCGCCATACTACGTCTTAGGAGTCAAACCACCCTCATTTCCCCAGTGTTATAAAGGTTAGAAGAAAGTTTCATCGAGTAGCTTTTACCAAATGACAACTGCTTTGGGGAACAGTCAACCTTGTGGGTGCTTTTCGGAACATTAGAATTGTAAAGTCTTGAAGCGTCACTTGTCATTTTTCTCTATTTATATAGCTCACTTGCTTCTTTCTTACCATTTTAACAGAAAGCCTCTACCTTGAGTGGTTCTCAAGTTTTGTATAGGGCGACCAGTTTTGTAAAAATATATACGAGGAAAGAAAGCTGGGTAAATTAAACACCTACCGAGTATAATAAAGTTTTTGTTTAATAAAAAAAAGAAAAAAACCTCAAATAAATACAGATAGCTATGAACTGGGTGCTGGCATCATTTTGTCCCCATCTGTCCAGAGTTTCGCTTCTGCAAATATCTTTATTTCTATGAACAAAATAGGTGAATAAATGAGGATGGGCCCCAGTCTTAATCGAATACTTTTGCCAAGGACGAAAAAGACAATAAAAAAAATTAAAACATTTTCATCGTTTTTAAATGATTCTTTCTGATTTGAAATCCAAATAATATTTTATTTCTTCTTTATGTCCTTCGTATTTTTCTCTTATCTCTTTTCCTTCTACGTTCCTCCAAAAACCGATCTTCTGTAGATCGGCATCCATCTTGATTTGGTCGTACGAATGACATTGCCAAATCTTTTACCTCCCTTTTTGTCTTTCAACGTTTTCCAAAGAGCTTATCTGTTGCTGTTTGTAATTCCTTTATCCTAGAAGGATCATTTCCTCAATAGTTTTGGCCAGAGAACTAAAGATTCTTGTAGAAGTGGAACCCAGGAGAGGTGAGGACAAAATGCTGCCTGCAGTCACTTCATAGGTATCTGCGTTTATTTTTTTTTTTTTTTCTCTATTTTTATTTTGATTCTAATCGATTTTTCTTTAAGACACCTTTTGACAGAAAGGTTCTGTTTTTAAAGAATGGAGATAAATGTCTGAAAATGGTTAGGGTTTTATAAGCAGGAAGGATAAAGCAGATAGGCAGCCAAAATTATTTTTCGTCTTTATCTAAGAGGCGAAATATAAGTTAAAAAGATAGTCTTCTTTTATAAATATGTCATACAGGCAAAAGTGGTTTCATTTTTTTACAAGTTTTTTTTTTTTTACATCAGCTTAAATTTGCTGAAATTTGTCGCAAGCCTGAGGTCGTCATTCTACAATCGATAAAAAGCGTATCAGAACAAAAAGGACATACAACAGAATTCAGATTGGCATTTCCTTTCCTTAAAAAGTGTGGAGTGGCCAGGTAAGGACACAGCAATACTACAAGTGGCATATGCAGAAAAAATACCCGGAACCATGTCGTTGCGAGGCCCCATCGGGAACTGCTGAACAATCCAGATCTCATTCCCAAAATCACCGTACAGTAACCTTTGCTGATATGGTAGCCTCCCTAGGGATTACTGTTAGTACTATCAGATGGCTAATGCTAGCCCAGAGAAGCGTTCTACCTTTCGTACCTTTGATAGGAAAAACCACACAACCCAAAGAGAAAAAAATTACCTTTACATGGAAGCAGCTGCTTTACCGATTAGGCCATGAAGAACAACTGGTTGCAGAAACGCAAATCTAACCGTATAATTTAAATTATATATAAATTCGAAAAATTCACAGATGTATGTTTATACTTTTTACGGACGAATAAAGATGAAACACTGCTTCTCATTGGATCATTGGAGGAAAAAGGCTCTTTGACGAAAATGGTAACAGATAGTAAAATTATATTCAGTATCAACCGGTCATTCTCTAGCACTGAAAAAGTTATTCAACAAAAATAACATTAAGGTAAACTATAGGTGTCCAAAAAAAACCATAGATAATTACATATCCTAACATAACAATAATGTATGAAGGAACAAAACACTAAAAAATAATCCTACTAAAAGTCAATGCAACTGCGGTTAAAAAGTAACCTTCCCATTAAACGGTCAGTGCATGACTGAAGGCATTATATACAGTGCTAGCATGAACTCAGCCGATGATGTGAAATATTACTTTGGATCCCCTGAGAACAGCTGGAAATCGCGTTTTTACCACCACAAAATGACACTGAGCAATATCAAATACAAAACGTACAACGCTTTCAAAGTATGTTTGGCGATTAAAAAGCAACCATAAGAACTTAAACATTAGCTGGGATATAATCGCGAGCTAAGCCATACTAAGATGTAACTTGTGTTCGTTGGAGAAGCTTATTATATTAAAACATTTCAATAATCCTATGTTGCTGAACACGATGATCGGAATTAATATCTCCCTGCATCCACCAATCCATGCACCTGCTCAAAAACATTAACCCCAAATAAAAGTGATTGCAAAATGGATTTTACGAATATGAATATAAAATGCAACAACTTTTAATATTCTCAGAACCCATTATCAATAATTTTCCTTATATACCTAGACACACAGAAAATGCAATATTACTGTACTCAGTTAATTTCCAACGTTTCTGTATATCTAATTACACCTTTATGAGTACATTAGATATATAGCCCCAACCTATTATTTATTTATTTATTTTTGCACATTTATATTATATTTCTAATCTGCGTTATAGTTTACGTTGATAGGTATAACTTAGATATTTTAGGCTAAAATACGAGAGTTACCCCCCTTGATATATTGTTTACTTTCGAATCCAAATTCAATTTTTTTTTTAATTATTTTTGTGATTATTCGACTTTCGAACTTAGGCATTTGAACGATATAAATTATTAATAGTTAATTCTATATTTTAAATAGACAATATATATATATATATATATATATATATATATATATATATATATATATATATAAAAAGTGGACACTGAGGTCAAGATCTTTTCGTACGTTACATAAAAATCGAAAAATAAAACGGAATACCTTGTAAAATAACACCCTGAAAAATGCACTATATAATATAAAAGGGAGATAATTCAACATGCTTTAAACTAAACAAGTATGCTAAGCACTCCCCGAAAAAGCAATTAGAATAAAAACATATGAATAAATAAAAACATTAAGTAAATAATAAATAAATTATCAATAAATACATAAACACAAGTAAATATAATTATAAAAAACAATATACAATAATGTAGTCAGCAACAAATGCTTAATAATACGTTTAAAACAATACTAAAAAAACTACAAAATTATTTCTACTCATTGACATCTAGAATAATCTGATATATAACCGTTGCCACCTACACAATAAGAGTTAGGCTAATACAATAGGCCTTGCTACATATAATGCACTATTGGCAGCATATATAGATAGTCCAAAAAAAAAAAAAACACAGCACACGTGACCTGATGATTGCGTTCAAGCAAGAAATAGACCGTCGCTGCTTGTTGTTGACCTCAGTGTCCACTTTTATATTCACATAAGCTCGGTCCCCGATAATGAGCACTTTTGCCATAAATATAATGTAGAAATACAAAAGGCAATCATCATGTTTTGGTCGAGGTTAAATCATATCATACGGGTCACGTGACGACCGCTTTACTTTATACATGGAGGAAAGGGTCAGCCGGTCAGCTTTCAGTCGCCAAATAAGCCCGGCTGCCACGTTGGGCAACTAACAAGTGTACAAACATCTTCCTTTTACGAATATATCTTCCCCAGATATAGAAAAAAAACTTCTTTTTTTCCATTTCGCAGTTCTCATATGTTCTCAACACTCACCGTTTCCCCGTTTGTGAAATATGTCCTCGTTAGGGACATAGCAGATACATCCGGCCCATATTCCTAAATATGGCTTCTCCGGAAACACACACAAAAAAATTCCATATTATATATAAGATCCTATCTTTTCCTTTTCCTTTTAATCTGCTTGTTGTGTAGATACAACCTTGTGCAAATTAAGAAAAACAAAACGAATAATTCTGTTATTATTTACTGTTTTTCGTATTTTGCCGATGAAACATGACCCAGTCAGTACTTCGTATCTCCATTCTGTTCCATTTCCTTGGAAATTGACCACAGAGTCTCAATTGGATTTAAATCAGGAGAGTTTCCGGGCCACACTATAGTGTACTTTCATTTGCTCATTGGTAAGGCATGCCAGTGTGTTCATACAGCGTTACAATTTTCTTGCGCTTCCTTGGAGTAACGTCCATCACAGACAATGGCCGTAGGACAACTAATCGACAGTCGAGACAATAGTGTCTGCGCGTGATGAAAATCTGATACAATCACGGATGACGCAATATTTCTCAAGGTTAAATAAATTTCATCATACACACCGAAAATGGATTCATATTACTGCACACCACTGCAAATGACGTAATCTGAGGAAAAAATAGACATCGATTACACCCTGTCATTCCAGTGGCTCTAAAACTGACCGTATGGGGAAACAAAGAAAACTGAAGTGGTTCTTTCAATTCATTTGCACAAGGGTGTAAGGGTTATATATTCTCTCCGTGAGACACACACACACACACATATATATATATATATATATTAAGAAAAGGACAAGGTTCGACAATTTATTTATTAAAGACATTTTTTTTATGTTTAACGTTGTTATTTATAGATACAAGTATTTAAGCAAATGCTCTGTTTATGATAAACAGTATTAAATAACATTTACCGGCCTGAATGTCCGAGAAATTTTCATAGAAATTATA